ATTTTTCGCGAACACTCCCTTTAATGCAATAAAAAATGGGTACTTTTATAGAAGTAACAGAATATACACCGCCTTTTTGACATTTTTACATCATACCCGTTTATTTTATACAGTACGCTACTGTACACTCCATTTTTTCGGCTTTTCACTTAACATTTAAGAGATATTTGCACTGAGTTCTTTGTCTTCGATGATAAGTGAAAGGTCCAAGGTTGTTACAAAAACAAGGTTTTTTAATAGAATGAAAAAAATGTTGAAGTAATTTCCATCCTCAAAGATTGTATATGTATTATGCATTTATTTACTTACAAAAGCTTTCTTAAGTTTCCAGAATTCAGAATTCCATTCTTCAATCGGAACTTTCCCACTGAAATAGCAATTTGTTGTTAGAGATATTCAAATAATAAAATGACATTAAAAAGGATTTGCGAATAACTAGGTACTAGGTCTCATCAAGGCGTAATTATGTACATTTTTAAAATCTATATAATATTTCCGATCGAGTTTAAAACATTAAAATTAAGGATTTCAAATCTTAAAATTTAAAAGCGCGCCTTTAGCTTTTTATTTGGAAAATAAACAAATTAAAAGGATTAGCCAAAAAAATTTTCGCAAATTTTTCCATTTGCAATTTTGGTTGAATTATCCCCAGCATCCTAGTTCTTAAGTAAGAGATAATTTACACGAACCACGAAGAAAATTTGGGATCGGAGGTCTTTGACATCCATTTTGATCTCATTGAACTCAGAAAAAAGAAGGAAAACTCACTTTTTTCATCCTAACTCAATTATTTTTGTTTAATTTTATATCATTAGCAACCATTTAAGTAATGCGCCAACATAAACATAGATATCCGACCTCCAGTTTGACCTCTTAACAAGTATGGCCTCTATAGAGGTCAAATGTCAGCTTCCATTCCAGAGTTTTTATGTGTAATGCTCAACCCAGAACCCCCCACCCCCCGTTTTTGTTAAAGATTAGAAAGTTACCTAAAAATGTTCCATCTCCAAGTATCGTATGTAAGGGGAAGTTACCTAAAAATGTTCGATCTCCAAGTATCGTATGTAAGGTGGAAAATTACCTAAAAATGTTCCATCTCCAAGTATCGTATGTAAGGTGNATTGATGTGCCCAATATTTGCAACATTCTGATTGGTTCTTATTGTCGGCATCTTTGTCTGCTTACGCTAAGGTTTCTGGCGGAAATGGATTTTCTTTGAGTCACGTGATTCCACAAAATTTCACGCAATTTGAGCACAATTTCGCGCAATTCCGAGCAATTCCGATTGGAAACCTGAGCAACAGCTGACTATATGTTTGTGAACCATACCCCATAATCTACTCTGTTGTAAGGTCGTCTCTGACAGATTGTACCTCCGCTAGACCCTCCGTTCACTTTCCAAACCAAACATTTTCAAGGTCTCCGCGGAAAAGCAAACAAAAGCCTCATGTAGTTAATAAAATTTAAAGTTCATTAAAAGAAACAATTTTAAACACAATTCCAGTGGATCATTTTGCAAACAAACAGTGAAATTCATTTAACCAAATGAATATTTATTTCAGAAGATTAAAATTGCTTTAGACTACAATTCAAACAACTATTCCCTATGCTATGCAACTCTACATCGTAAGTTCCTTATGTTTGATTCACAACAGTACCTTTTTAAACCTATATTTACTAATTCACAACAGTACCTTTTTAAACCTTTTATTTATCAATTCACAACAGTACCTTTTTAAACCATTTATTTATCGATTCACAACAGTAATAAAATATGATCTACAAAACCTACAAAACCTGCTCCAAAACCTGAAAAACCTACAAAACCTACAAAACCTTAAGTTTCCAAAACCTGCAAAACCTACAAAACCTAGAGTTTCCAATACCTTTTAAGCCTTTGTTCAATTCTCAATGGTATATGTTTCTAAACCAATTGTTCGATTCATAACAATACTCATTTATTGTTAATTACCCTCAACTGTTTAATCTTTATTAACAATCATTATTTATACACATGTACGTCAATAACAATTTGTATTTTGTTGTAGGAAACCTCGTTACTGAAATATATTTTCAACAAGAAGTTATCCTCTATGTGTTTTGTGGGAATTAGAGTGTTTATCCAGCCTACCGCCTTTGGATTTGTCATCCCTTGAGAAGCTTACTTAGGAAACATATACCCGGCTCCGACCGAAGTTTCCGCTATCTCGAGTTGCATTTCCTTAGCTCCATTTCTGCCGCCCATTTCGCGTCAATATCCTTTTGATTGGTTTACAATTTTAGTTTTATGTTTTTCTCAGTTTGTACAATTATTTTGAAGTTTTAATGTGTTAAGCTTGTAAAATTTGACAAAACAAGGAAAATTATTGTCATTAACATTGGTGGATCCAAGTTTCATGTAGGGAAGATGGGGAGGGGGGAGGGTTGAACTGCCCCCCCCCCCCGCCAAATAGTTGCGTCTATTATATGGGTTGTTAACCTGTTGCTCATCAGGTTTGTAGTCCTCAAGTAGTCCTAGTTTAGAGAGGTAGGATGGAGTAGAGGACACCAGGGACATCAGCTCACCTTCATTATACTCGGGTTGGTTGAATTGAATTTCATTTGGTTTGGTGATATTTAAAGGGTTTGGTTTGATGGTATTTACAGGGTATAGTTTGGTGAAATTTACAGGGTTTGGTTTGGGAATTTTTACAGGGTATGGTTTGGTCATGTTTATAGGGTATAGTTTGGAAATATGAACAGGGTATAGTTTGTCGATATTTACAGGGTTTGGTTTGGGGATATTTACAGCGTTTGGTTTGGGGATATTTACAGGGTTTGGTTTGGGAATATTTACAGGGTTTGGTTTGGGGATATTTACAGCGTTTGGTTTGGCGATATTTACAGGGTTTGGTTTGGGGATATCTACAGGGTATAGTTTGTCGATATTTGCAGGGTTTGGTTTGGGGATATTTACAGGGTTTGGTTTGGGGATATTTACAGGGTTTGGTTTGGGGATATTAACAGGGTTTGGTTAGGGATATTTACAGGGTTTGGTTGGGGATATTAACAGGGTTTGGTTTGGGGATATTTACAGGATTTGGTTTGGGGATATTAGCAGGGCTTGGTTTGGGGATATTTACAGGATTTGGTTTGGGGATATTAGCAGGGCTTGGTTTGGGGATATTTACAGGGTTTGGTTTGGGGATATTTACAGGATTTGGTTTGGGGATATTAGCAGGGTTTGGTTTGGGGATATTTACAGGGTTTGGTTTGGGGATATCTACAGGGTATAGTTTGGTGATGTTTACAGGGTTTGGTTTGGGGATATTAACAGGGTTTGGTTTGGAGATATTTACAGGGTTTGGTTTGGGGATATTTACAGGGCTAGGTTTGGGATATTTACAGGGCTAGGTTTGGGACATCCTTTTAATCCTACTCCTACTGACGTCTCCTCTACACAAAATACTTGGGAGGTGGGGGGGGGGACTCTATTTCCTGAAAAATGGCATGCCATACTTTTATGAAAAGCCCTGAAAGTGTATAATCTGCAAATAAATTGCAAATTTTCAAACTCAAATTGTTTTTTGAAGAATCCAGTTTTTTTTGACTTATGTTCAACAATAGGAATATTATTAATATCGTTCGATCTACTATCGTTGAAATTGTCATAAATCGATGTTTCGTGGACCGTGTACACCCTGTTTAATATTATGATATGATCTAACCTATCGCTTCATGAAACCCATCGTTTGCTCCGTCCCTGTAAACCTAAACAAATCTTTATTTTCAAGTAACTCTACATTTATAAAATGGGAAGTCTGATTGACGACAATTAAATCTTTGTCTGATCCAGGAAATGCCCTGAATTCCATACAGTCGTCCTCGTAAATACCAATACAATAAAGACGACTTTCGATTTCAATTTTTGATTTTTACCAAGAGAAAACATCTACATGAAAACAAAGAGAAGCTGTGAAATAACATCTACTCTTTGTTTACTTGTTAGCTTTTAACTTGAAAAGCTTGTTAGGAATCAAAACTTAAATAGAAAAACTGTCTTTGTTGAATTGATTTAAACGCCGACCAGTGAAGCTAAAAATTAGGTGCATTTGTAAATCATGTAACATTATAATTGTCATTTAATCCCGCTCCTTAATGTTCAGCTATGTATACAAAAATAAGGATTCTCTATCATCGATGAGCAAATAAAGGTATAAATGCTACCATTGTGAATCGAACTTACCGTTCTGAAAATTTTGGGTAACATTAAACTATGCATGCAGTCCCTTCGATATTATATGAAAAAGAGTAAGAATTTATATTGTTATACTTATAATATTTACACACATGAAAACCGAAGTATTTGGTTTCAATTTTGACATTTTTTGAAGTAGAAAAACCGATATATTTCCCATTATTGATGAGATAGAGGTATAATGGATACTGTGAATAGGATACGCAAATCTAACAAATAGAAAGTCTTTTAAAGTCACGCCCTAGTCCTTGTAAAATATATTGCCTGCGGTTGGTGCTTATAACTCTGCTGATACTGAGTGTGTCCAAGCTCATGATGAATAGTTTGTAAATCTTCAAAATTAAAATCCCTGAAGAAAAATGATCAATTAAGGAACTGATTACTTATCTTAAACTCTAATTTCAAGCTCTATATTGGGTATTTTAAACTGTGTTCTAAAGTAGAATTTATGTTTTGAAATATCAAAGGTTCAAGGCTTTATATTCTAAGAGTGTAGTTTCACAGAATAATAGAATAACAATTAACTAATGGCATTTTTTAACAGTTTTTTTTTGTTAAACAAATGGTTTGAACCAAATGACAATAATTCCGATGGAAAAAAAGATAATATTTGGGAACGAAACAAAAGAGTAGTTTTTGTAATATTTTATATTTCTATGATTTACAAAGTTCAAAAATACTAAAGAAAGTTTACCTTGTGCACATCCGGATCCGGAAGTCTTTGGCATCGTAGAAGTCCCAGGCTGTAGCATGACAAATAACATCCCTTTCATTAGAGATGTTTTTTATAAACAATTTTTTTTTAATCTAAGAGGCACTACAAAAATCTAAGTTTTGATTATTTAATCTGACCCCGTGACCCCGACCCTCCACTGATGGCGTGAATCACAACGTTACCCTAAAAATATTACGTTATCCATGTTTTTCTTATACTCATTGTGACTTGTGCAATTTTTGCATCAGAAATAATAAAGAAATTATCAGAATTCTTAATACGCAACGCTATCATTGAAAAACGAAAATTACAAGGGTATTTTTGATGTGTTTTCTGTTTTTGCTATTTTATCCAAATATTTTATCTTTCATTTAAACTTGTAACTTAAAGAGGAGAAGATTCATAGAAATAATGAATAAAAACAATTGTAAATATTAGTTGGTATTTTGTATACAGAGTAAAACAACATAAGACAAGATCCAAACGGAAATAAAAAATGTTAGTTTGAATATTACGCTGAAATTAAAGATAAATACAGTGTCAACCATAAATCTGCGGGATTCTCATCGTCTTCTCGTTTAATTTTTATTTCAAACCTTTGTCTGATCATGCCTCTGTCCGATCATGCCTCTGTCCGATCATGCCTCTGTCCGATCATGCCTCTGTCCGATCATGCCTCTGTCCGATCATGATCAACAATAAATTTTTGTTTTTAAAGTTCAAAATTGTTTTGGTTTCTCAAAATTGGGGACTTATGCAACTGAAAAATTATTTCAAAATTCAACAATTTTAAGATAAACAACGGTAGCTTCCGTTGTAAATCATACTTGACATATCTCTAAGTGTTAGAAACTAACAAAGACGACATTGAGTCCACAGTTTTCCTGTTCTCACTGTATAGCTTATACCTTCCATCTGTTGGTTTCTTTAGCATTGACAGATTCCAAAATGTATCTGGTACTCGGTGCATCCCTAGTCCTGACAACAAGTACAGGGTGTCTCGATAAACATAGAAATTAATTGATAATTTTGTATTATTACTGAAATTATTCTTTTTGGTAACGAAGACAAAAATCTGATAACCAGAAGTCTAAATTTTCCTACAAAGACCTATCTAGTAATATACTTTGCTTGTCTGGGTGGGTGTTTGTTTGTTTGTTTGTGTCCAATAAACGTCAAACGGCTGAACCGATCGAACCCAAATTTTGTGTGGGATCTGACATGACCCCAGGGAAGGTTAATGAAGATCATATTATATTATATATATCAAATTATATCTATCTATATAATAAAACAAGACATTCATATATATGTTGGCTATAGCCGGCCAAACGGCTGGACCAAATGGGCTTACATTTTTTGTGGACACTCATGGGTTGCCGGGGGTGTTTAGGCTAAATGAATCGAAGTTTTTTTCAAAATTTTTTTTTCTCAAAATTTTTTCAATTTTTTTTCCCACGGGCAACACCCAGTTCTTCAGCTAGTGTTCAATAAATTTTAAAAATCCACGATTTTTTTCATTAAATCAGCGAACTTTTTTTTAATGTTTCACAATGTATACAAGAAGATAATGTTTACAATTGAACTAGAAGATGGGCGCGAGGCGCCATGAAAGCCTAATATCTTATAAATAAGCTTAAATAATTTTCATTTTCGTTTTCCGGGTTATATAGAAAATCGGAATGAAAATTAAATATTAATACTTTTGCGCTTTACACACTAAACAGAGCCTAATAAGCCTAGCTTATCTAACTTCACATTCGCACAAAAAAATATTTTCAATTTAACTTTATGTAATTATTGGTTTTATTGGATAAGAAAAGAAAAATTAAATCATTAAATTTTTTTAACCTGCATAGAAATTATCTCCAGTTTGGAACATCTTGAGAACAGTGAAATTTTCTTTTTTCATCAACTCCGTTGGAACTAAATTATTAAATATTAAATGCTAAATATTTAATAAAGTTATTTAATACTATCTATTGTTTATCAGGGAGCTGTTTAATCCTACTTATTGTTTATCAGGGAGTTATTTAATCCTACCTATTGGAGGTTTATCTTGGAGTTATTTAATCCAACCTAATCTTTAATATGGAGTTATTTAATCCAACCTATTCTTTATTATGGAGTTATTTAATCCTACCTATTGTTTTTCAGTGAGTTATTTAATCCAACCTATTGGGGGTTTATCAGTGAGTTATTTAATCCAATCTATTGGAGGTTTATCAGTGAGTTATTTAATCCAATCTATTGGAGGTTTATCAGTGAGTTATTTAATCCTACCTATTGGAGGTTTATCGGGGAGTTATTTAATCCAATCTATTGGAGGTTTATCAGTGAGTTATTTAATCCAACCTATTGGAGGTTTATCAGTGAGTTATTTAATTCTACCTATTGGAGGTTTATCAGTGAGTTATTTAATCCTACCTATTGGAGGTTTATCAGGGAGTTATTTAATCCTACCTATTGGAGGTTTATAAGTGAGTTATTTAATCCTACTGATTGGAGGTTTATCAGGGAGCTATTTAATCCTACCTATTGGAGGTTTATCAGGGAGTTATTTAATCCAACCTATTGGTGTTTTATCAGTGAGTTATTTAATCCTGCCTATTGGAGGTTTATCAGTGAGTTATTTAATCCAACCTATTGGAGGTTTATCAGTGAGTTATTTAATCCTACCTATTGGAGGTTTATCAGTGAGTTATTTAATCCAACCTATTGGAGGTTTATCAGTGAATTATTTAATCCAACCTATTGGAGGTTTATCAGTGAGTTATTCAATTCTACCTATTGGAGGTTTATCAGGGAGTTATTTAATCCTACCTATTGTTTATCAGGGAGTTATTTAATCCTACCTATTGTTTATCAGGGAGTTATTTAATCCTACCTATTGTTTATCAGGGAGTTATTTAATCCTACCTATTGTTTATCAGGGAGTTATTTAATCCTACCTATTGTTTATTAGGGAGTTATTTAATCCTACCTATTGTTTATCAGGGAGTTATTTAATCCTACCTATGAGACTTATCATGGAGTTATTTAATTCTACCTATTTGAGGTTTACCATGGAGTTATTTAATCCTACCTATTGGAGGTTTACCAGTGAGTTATGTAATCCTACCTATTTGAGGTTTACCATGGAGTTATTTACTCCTACCTATTGGAGGTTTATCAGGGAAGGGAGTAGAGAAAGAGTAAAGATTGTTCCAAAACCTTCCCCACATATCCCTTAATAATATGCAACAAATCAATAACAAGTTATTATAAAATTAAATCACTTAAGTAAAGTAACATCTTCAAAAAAAGTTATTTTTCTTTATTTCTTTAATGTAAGCAAAATTCCCGGAAGTTTTACCCAAGAAGGTGGGCTGGCAGTGTTCCATTCAGATCGATATTCTCCTCTCCGTAAACATTGTACAACTGTAACAAAATATAACAATAAAGCTGGGTATTCTTTCTATATTCATGCACCTTCATATATATCTTTAGATTTCTCACCTTTCTACGGATATATGCATGAAGTTCAAGGTACAGTGGTTCCATATCTCTGTACAAGGATTGAACATCCGCGCCAAAAGTTTCAGTTTCATATTTATCCCGCCAGGCATCTCCCAAATCATCATGTCCGTTTAGGCGGGAAAGTTCATTTTTTAGCTCAGCATAACGCTCGTACAACGGTTTGTTTGCACGCCCCACCTAAAAGTTGGAACAAATATTTTGCTTTCACAGTTTACTGTCAGACTACATACGCTAAACTATAAAAACTATAGTTTGAAGAAAAAAAAGTATGAGCTCAATAGCTCTGAATAGGAATACTTCCCTTGATGTAACCCCCCCCCCCCCCAGTTCTCATACGGACCCGGAACTATGCTCAGATTGGATGTTCTATTTTAAACTCAAGCAAATAACCTGGTTCCAATAGGTGGCATGAATTTAGGACCAGGCTAAAGCAGAATAGATTAGAAGTCATGACGAAGAATTGGAAAAGGTAGGTTTATTCGCAATATGAGGCGGGAGAAAGGCGGAGGGTCCGTCGAAACCTCCGGCTTTATTCCAATGAGTAGTATCGAATATTATCTGTTTTTTTTTGTGCTGTAAATATATTTTTGTCCTATACTTTGTAGACTTATTCATGTCAGTTCATTTCTTCAACTTTATGTTGTAACATATATGTTTGATAATTTTTCAAACCTTATTTCTCCATTCCTCCCAGACCAACAGCCTGAGATCATAATCAGTAGAATCTGCCATTATATTTGTTAAACCTGGTCAAATCTTGAATTTAATAAATAGTTTTCTACAGGGTTACACACATAGGATCAGACTTCAGAGACTACTGTACGGAATTTATACTGTCTGTTTTCTCATATTCATGATTTACCGGAAATATAAAGTTTTGTCTTTCTTTGCAAACTATTTTAATCAGCCATTTCATGGCTTTTTCCGAGGCAGAAGACTTAATTTTACTTTAGATTCGTCCAGGGAGTAAGGAATAGAAGGGAGATATACATGCTTTGCAGACGGGAACTCTATTTGTATATGAAATATTCAGAAAAGGTTGTTGTATACGCGGTAATTGTACATCAGACAAATATTTCTTATTCCAATGGAGTACCCGTCTGCAAAGATATGGTAGAGGGTGAACCGCGTCTGTTTTTTCCCTTCTATTCCTTACTTCCTGGATTCGTCATATCTTTATTTTTTAAGTCGTCTTTAGAGTCTCATCGTTTGTGGGTAGCCATGTATAACAAGATATTCTACAGGGAGAGGGACTAGTGAGATCCATAGAATTGTGGAATAATAAGACGAAGTTATGATTTTAAAAAGTGCAATAAAAATGACAGCAGTTGTGCAGTGTATGCAGACACAACTTGATGAGTTTATTTCTAAGCTGCGGGTAAAATTGTTTGCTTTTTAACAACATTAAATGCTTCCTATTCCACAGTCACTTTAATACTTCGAAATATGGTTATCTACAGAGCCCGTACTCTCCATAGAAAGTGGTCGTGTAGTTCACGTACTTTGGTGGAAGATATGTTGGCCACTAGATGTCTCATGCTAAATTTTAAGCTGATAGATATATAGTTCTCCGTACATTTGACGACCAATATTGGAGACGTCAAGTTGTCGACCAATGAAGTTTATGGAAAGAACGGCCTCAGGTGTGATTTTATAAGTTCTAATCTGCCTATCATAAAGACGACATTTTGTACAGTTTTATTATTCGAAATTATTCTTAACTCCAGTGCAAGGAGATATTGAATAGAAGGAGGGGGCGATAGGCCGTTTACGTACGATCTAATGTAAACAAACATGAGTTAGTAAACTGTGAAAGTAGTATTAAATCTTGTTAAAAAAGATTGAAAAAGTTAAGGATTTTAGTTTTATACGAAAAGGACACAATTACACAGACATTTTCAATGAAATTCAACGTTATCCTGCCCCCCCCCCTAGATGTTTGTTTATTATTTGTGTTATTGTTTACAATCTTCATTATTGTTGTTATACGCAAAAACTATATCTTCAGCAGTCCAAAAACGTCACAGCAGTGTACGGAAACGCTATCGCCACCTCCTTCTATTCAATATCTCCTTGACTCCAGAGCCGGCGATTTAAAAAATTCAAGAAAATACCACTCAGGTCTAAGCTGTTGTTGAGCCTTATTTACGGCTCGGGCTTTCGGATTTAAGTTGCTCTAATTTTCAACAGAGTTCAGTTCATAAAACCGGTTTAATTTTGTATTTAGCGGATTTTCATAGTTGGAATTGGCGCATTCTGGGTTTTGATGAGAATAAGACCCAACATTGAGCCTTATTCTTCACTAAAACCAACCAAGGTCAGTTTTATTTTCATTGGGCTTAACTCCTTAAGTCGAGCCTAAGATCTCGCAGCTGTCAATCACGTGACACAAGCTGTCGTCAGAGTTGGGTCGAAGATTGGGTCTTAAAGTCGGGTTTAAGGAATTACGGCTCGAGCCGAAGTTTTTAAATCGCGGGCTCAGGTAAAAGTAAAAGAAACCAATCCAGATATATCAAAAAAAAAATTCCCCCCCAATAAAATGTCAAAGTCAAAATTATTTCCTGGCTCCAAGAGTTCACATTCTCCGGACGGAAGACAAACCTAAAAAATAAATATAAATAATTTTCACAAAAAAAAGAATTTTGGTTTCAGAAAAATGGATTCACAAAGTTTATTCATTGTCATTCCATTTCACAATTTCTTTGATTGTGACTCAAAACCAAAAAGTTAAAAACAAAAAAATGCTTATTTAAATATTTTAATTTTACTTTCATTCGAAAAACTTTTGAAACAAATGTTTATTTTAATTTAGTTTAGAAAAATGTTTTGTACCTGTGCTGTGCCGTATATTTTGCCCATATCTGTAATTATTTGAGATAATTCTACTGTTGAGTTTTCAGACAAGGATTTAGACCCAACCTTACTAAAATATTATTCTTATTATTATCTAGTTAGAAATATTCCCGTGATTCTGCCGAGATTAAGATCGATCAAGGGGTTTTTGAGTTATGATCGAACATACAAACAGACAGACAGATATTTCTACTTTATATTTGATAATAAAAGGAAGATGTGGAGGGTTATGGCTGAATCCTAATGAAGTTAATCTTTGAATTTTTTTCCTTTTTCTCTGATAGCGACTTTATAGAAAACCCAAATTGAAAAATAATCATTTTTTTTGTGAGAACAAATAAAAACAACTTGAAATTTTTTTGAGCCTGTAAATAAGTACAGGGTGTCCCAAAAACATGGGAATTCAGTGACGAATTCGATATCGTCTTTGTTATGAATTAGCATTGTAATACCTAATTTTAAAAGCCATAACATTATTATGTCGGCTAGAGTTTATTTTATAAAAAGGATAAAAGACTGTAAAGATATGTCTATAATGTCTCCGCAAGATGAACAGTGAATACGGACAAGTTTACTCTGTTTGACTAGTTGCGCCTCTGATTTACTAAGTACAACTGTATGCAGTCAAAACATAAACAAACAAAATGTGAACATAGCAGACGAAACTCTTACAGATTACAGCTTTCTCAGTAGGTATCACTATACTAAATCAAAGAATTATTTAAAAAGACGATATCGAATTCGTCACTGAATTCCCATGTTTATTGGGACACCCTGTATCATAACTATAACCTGAGCTGTCTCTGTGTATCTTGAGTAAAATTTGTAGCGTCAAACTTACTCATCTCCTCTACTGCCTCAGCCTATACAGTGATCGGCGTTAATATCAATATAATAAAGACGATTTTTCAATTCAAGTTTAGACTTCTAACAAGCTATATTCACGTTAACAAGTTTACAAGTAAACGTGTCTTCATGTTCATGCCATGATGTTTAAAAGCTATGATAGAAATCAAAATTGAAATAGAAAGTCTTATTCATTGTATTGATTTATACGATAACGATTCTATAGTATGTACCACCATTGACAATAAAATCAGGCAAAAAATATCAATCAGAATTTTTACTGTGGCTCTATAGAATTTTAAGCTTTTATATTAAGGACAAAATATGGTTCGTAAGGTTACATTAATGGTTTGGCAATAGTTCAACATTGGCCCAGTATCAATAATTCATGCATATATATGTGTGTAGACCACTGTGAGATATAGTATATGTACATGTTTACAGGGAGAGTCCACGAAAAATGAAATGTTAAATCTGAATTGAATTTTATATTAATGAGTAGATAATGAATTTTTTTAATCTGATATTTCTTGAGCCGCCAGCGAAATGCTGTATTTGAATTTTTAAGTTAAGAACCAAAAAAGCATAATTGAACTGAACTATACGTCTTTAAAGGGACAGACCGGCTATGTAAGTATGCAATGTTGTTAATAAGATTACTTATTTTCGATTATAAGATTAATTTTTATTTTCTCAACCGGTTCCTAAACAACTAATTAGTTTACTGTAGAATTTTGTCTATATTTTTTGTCTTCGTTATTTAATAATTTTAAAAAAACCGATTCATGAAAACGTATCCACGTAAATGTACGATATTTAACGTCGACTTTGCGCCCAAACTCAGGATTTACAGATCTTTTGTAAGTTTTATATGTTTTAAATAAATCCTATAAAGAATTTGTCCACAACACTGCCTACTCAGTTCAACTACCTTACATGGCCGGTCTGTCCCTTTAAAGGGAGCATTCCCTTTACGTTCTATTCAGAGTAAACTAACTATTCATTGATAGAAGTCTTAGTTTTTAATCATAAAACATTAAATTGATATCTACAGAGCGTCCCATATCATTTTAGATTATCTCTAATCTTTAACGACAAAATAAANATCATTATCATTATCATTATCATTATCATTATCATTATCATTATCATTATCATTATCATTATCATTATCATTATCATTATCATTATCATTATCATTATCATTATCATTATCATTATCATTATCATTATCATTATCATTATCATTATCATTATCATTATCATTATCATTATCATTATCATTATCATTATCATTATCATTATCATTATCATTATCATTATCATTATCATTATCATTATCATTATCATTATCATTATCATTATCATTATCATTATCATTATCATTATCATTATCATTATCATTATCATTATCATTATCATTATCATTATCATTATCATTATCATTATCATTATCATTATCATTATCATTATCATTATCATTATCATTATCATTATCATTATCATTATCATTATCATTATCATTATCATTATCATTATCATTATCATTATCATTATCATTATCATTATCATTATCATTATCATTATCATTATCATTATCATTATCATTATCATTATCATTATCATTATCATTATCATTATCATTATCATTATCATTATCATTATCATTATCATTATCATTATCATTATCATTATCATTATCATTATCATTATCATTATCATTATCATTATCATTATCATTATCATTATCATTATCATTATCATTATCATTATCATTATCATTATCATTATCATTGTCATTATCATTATCATTATCATTATCATTATCATTATCATTATCAATATTATTATCATTATCATTATCATTATCAGTATCAATATCATTATCATTATCATTATCATTATTATTATCATTATCATTATCATTACTACTAACGTTAATTAGACTTACTTTCTTTTATTTTAACAATATTATAATCATGATTATTTTTAACTTTATTTCTTCTCCACCTGAGCAATATCTGAATTAGAGTCTGTAATATTTGTTTCATAATTCCACTGTGCTATTGTAGCAAGGTTTAACAGTTCTCCAAGCTTAGTATCATATTCAGCAAGAAATACCTAGAAAACAGTGCCTCTATTAAACATGGGAATTAAGTCGTCTTCGATCTTTAATACAGGGTTACCCACAAGTAATGAGACTTCAGACACGGCTGTATGTAATCTGTACTTAATATCTTTACATTCATGATTCAACGTAAATGTAATCTCCTTTCTTTCTATTCCAAATCATTAATTATGCCATACAAAGACTATATTTAAGTCATAGAACTTAATGTTACCTCGACATCCGTTATGGGTAACCCTGTTGTTCATAGTTCATGACAAAGGTAACATTATGATTTTTTATCAAACAAAAAATGGGAAAATTTCTTGACATATCAATTAATTTCTCCAGTAGAAACCAAGTGCCCAGATCGCATCGCTTAAAAATCCCGTTATCATGGCAATATGATGTAAATTGTTCGTTATTGTTTTTATAAGATTCACCAACGTTCGTAGTCCTTAACAAAGACTCCCCCCCCCCCCTGTTTTACCTGGTGTAAAAGATAGGAGCATGCAATGGAATGCATAAACAGTGAAAAAAAAATCCGCGGAAATAAAAGAACTGTCACAAGAATAGGATCAAAGAATGTTAGCGGACGTGGGAGCAAAGAGAGAAAAACCTTGTAATCATCCAGTTTATTTAATAAACATTGATAAAATCAAAATTCAAAAAAAATGTTAAAAATAGGTACAAATACGCACGTACCAAAAAAGGAGATCAATGTGAAAATTATATTTCTAAACAATTTGTTAAAGAAAGATGACATTTCAAAAGGTTATTCTTCGCGTTGTCACATACAGTTCAAAATTATCACTAAAATGGGTCAGGTTTGTTAATATAGCCACCTTTTTTTTCAAAATGCAGTGGTATTGTTAGAATAGGTTTTCCCTAATACTGAGAGAAGGCTTTAACGTCGTCTTTGACATTTTTTATAGTTTTTTATCTTTATTTTGCAATTAGAAACTTTTTTCATGATACAACAATCGCCAAATAACCCTAGTCCTGCAATTCCAAAATGTAGTCTGCCATTGTTTTGCTTTTATAATTACATTGGAAAAATTTGTTCAGAATTAGACAATTTTTGTTGGATTAAATAATTAAAATCTAAACAAAATTGAGATAATTCATTCCAGTCTTCCTATTCCAAAATTTATAAGTCTCACTGTACAACACTGTACAACACTATACAACACTGTACAACACTGAACAACACTGTACAAAAGAACAACCTTGAATAATTACCTTGGCATCCTCCTCTGTGAACTGACCCGCCACAAACGTACTGTAGGTGACCAAGTACACCCAGCAGTACATTTTAAACATTTCAAGTCTGTAGAAAATCTTAATGAATGAGGTTTAGTATAGTTGTTTTTAATTGTGAGTTTTCTGTAAAATTGACTTGCGTATTTCTTTCTAGAAGAAAAAATGAATCCGCCTCTCAAGTGTGGGATTAGAGGGTTAAATTCAGAAATACTCGTAATATATATACAACAGATATTCTACCAATAATTGATTAACTTATTGGCGAGTATTGTTATCTTAATTCTAAATTGTCTGTTAATATTATTTCGCAGTTGAGATTGGAGTCTAACTATTTATCTTTTACAAGTGTGAAGTGTACAGAGATAATAAAACACTACAGCTAGGCTTGGCATAAACGAACAGAAACACTTTTTTCTCATTTTTGTTTTAAAAAATGAATAACATTCTATTTTAGAAAAGTGTTGCAACTAACGAACTGTTAGGTTTAAAATGTTGGAAAACTAAAAACGAATCAACGATATGATATTTACGAAGGTACGTTTATCGTTAACATACGCTTTTTGATAACGATAAAAATAAAAAATAAACAATCTGCCTTTTTAAACGAAACGACGAATTAAAATTTTAAAAAATTAATTTTCAACGAAACGATTGTTTTGCTGTTTTTCCTCGTTAACGAAACAATTTGATATAGTTTGTTTTGTCGGAAAATATAGTTGTTTCACGCCTAGCTAACTCCAGCTGTATTTCAAGATATTTCCAAATAGATTGTAAATACCACATAGTGTATCATGTATAGTTGTTTCACGCCTAGCTAACTCCAGCTGTATTTCAAGATATTTCCAAATAAATTGTAAATACCACATAGTGAATCATGTATAGTTGTTTCTATGAAAATTACAGAAAAAAAACTGAATTGATAAATAGGTATACCTAGCTGTTATAACAGTAAACATGATTAAATTACATAAATTTACATGCTAAGTAAATGCTAAATTACATAATTAAACGGAGGAAACCAAATTTATTCTGTCTTTATGGAAGCTATGTTTAATAGGACAACCTGTATATCTAAAAAAGAATTTAAACCCAACAAATATAATAAATTCTTACACTGCGAAGGCGGCTTGTTGAATACTAAACAGAAACTCACAATATTAATCTAAAAACAGGACTTTCTGTATGTTTAAAGGGACAGTAAAGGAAAAATGAAAGGGGGTATAGGCTGAAAGCTAATCACTTTAGCTCTTGATCGCGACCCATGAAAGTTTTATCTGATGTTACTATCTCGAGAAATTGATATAAAACTGTGTTAAAATCATACGAAAGTTTATTTATGTAAAATTTAGAAAATCTTAAACTTAAATCACGTGACCAGAACTATCACCAATGGCAGAGCAGTATCATGATCACGTGTCTCTGCCTGTATCACGTGACCACTTTACTGCACTGTCATTGGTGGATTTTCTGGTCAAGCAATGCGGACGTGTAAATAATATTATGAATTAAATCCATTAAAAATAGAAATAACAAATATAAAATTAGAATTGGAGTAAACCTAAGTAATAATTAGCTTTCTCTGGGATATTATCGTTTTCAGATTGGTTGCTTATTTGCTGAATTTGATCTACTTAAACCCACTA